ATTTCACAACATCCAAAAACAAAAAGACGGGCCAAAACCAAAACGGGGTAAGAGGCTTTGCAGAAAGGTGCGATTAACGCGATCGAAGGCTTTCTCTTGATCTAAACTGAGCAAAATGCCGGTTTCATTCGTGCGGTCGATGTAATCTAAGATGTCCCTGAGTAAATGTAAGTTTGAAGTAATTTTGCGTCCGGGCACAGAACAAGTTTGATCAGGGTCAACGATATATTCCAGAACTTTAGAGAGTCGAAGAGAGAGAACTTTTGAGCATAACTTATAATCAACGTTTAAGAGGGAAATCGGACGCCAATTTTTCAGATTCTTACGATCTCCTTTCTTAAAAATAACGCGTGTGTTGCTCATCTTCATGGAATCACACATCTCTCCGGTTTGGTAGCATGCATTTAAGACTTGACATAAATGTGGAGCTAAACGATCCCAAAATCTAGCGTAGAATTCAACCGACATACAAGGCTGTTCTTACCTGAAGGCAAAGTTACCCCACAAACATCACAGGAAACTTGTTTACCTCTTAACCCACACAGTTCCGCCATATTTTCTTCAAATAACGCGGGCTCTGATAACGAGGGTTGATGGGAATAATAGATCCAGTCCATTCTCGTTTGCTTCCAATGCCTGATTGTTTTAACTTTCGTTCTGATCTTCAAACATGACTACAGATTCGTGCTCTGCTTGGAAAGTCAGTGCATGTGCTGAGGGGGGTAACAAATACAGCCGATTTCAACCACGTCGACCGGTTCTTTAAAGAGGCAGAGAGCGGAAGATTATCAGAGCTTTACACCAAAGTCGGCGAAGAAACTTCGGAATACTCAAAACGCCTATGCTCGACAGAGGCCGGCAAAGACTTTAGAACTTTGTCCGAGCAAAGCGCGAGAGAAAGCTATTCAAAGGAGTTAAGAACTCGCAAAAGCGTGAAATGCACAGCAAAAGTCAAACCGATGAAGAAAGAGGTACTGTTCCGAATTGCCAGGCGCTCAATCGGCGACTCGCACGATAGTCAGTAAATCAAAGGTTCTAGACCAGAGCGACTTTTGAAAAATGTATCAGGTTTATGACAGCATCTGTGGACTGGTTCAATGTCTGGGAATAAGCAAACGATTCAAACAATGTATTAAAATCGTTCCAATAGATGAGGGATATTGTAAATATCACCTGATTAACGACCATTCTTAACTTAAACTGATTTATAACTCATAACCGCAGTTCATACATATGTTTCATATGTTTGTTGTTGTTTAAAATGATTTCTTCAAAGAAAAAATAAATAAAAAGCAGTTTTATTGAGGCAGAAAACCCCCTTTTAATTTTGGTTGTCCGAAAAAAGGGAGGTATCTTTTAAAGTTCCTATTTCATGTTCTGTCTTGGCTATGGAATACAACGATTTAATCGATTTGATTCTGTCACTTCAAGAAATGTCATTCCATGTGATTTTATGCGAGAGACTGACAAATCACGTTCCGTTGCTCTGTTCATCCCTTGCGTTCGGTTTTCCCTCACGTCGTGTACGTTTTTGCGTTTTCCGAGTATTTGAAAACGTAATGGTAGTGATGATGAATGGAACAGACGAGGCCCGTTGAGGCTTTATTCGGTGAATGACAAAGGCCTAGTATCAGGACACTACTTGTATGCTAAGAAAATTAAAGATGGCAAAGAAGAAAAAACTAGTGAGTAAAAGGAAAAAAAGGTTTTAAGAGGATTACTCGGCAAAAATAGCGTCCCCAGGATTCTTCGGTTTGAGAAAACATTCCCGTGGGAATTTACAAGG